GAGTATTTGGCAAAAAACTACTCATATGGCCCACTGATGGCCTTGATGGTGATATGGCATTCACTATCAGCCGCGGGCGCCATTTTGCGACGTAACGCAAGTGCCAATCGAAGATGCAAAATTTTGTCACCACGGGGGATCGAATCATGAACCTATTCTTCATGCATTTTTTGTCATTCAGAGGACCGCTCAGGAGAAAAGGAACATCCATTGTTTCATGTTCTACGCACGTGCACATGTAATGCAAAATACGGTTCTGAAAAATTACGGCACGATCTGAAAGACCTTCCTGGTTGGGGTAAATGCACCTACGATTGTCTCCACAATTCTAAATGGTAGTGAGACATCGCACTCCAAAATAGGCCCCGACCTACGCCAATCGACCACTAGCAGTTATAATTTTGTGGTTTTTTTTCTGAGGTATAGAAATTATTTCTAGTTCAAGTCGATGTTCCATATGCATCCGTGATTTTCCAGACCTAAAGCTGTTTGATAGTTTACAGAGACGTACTGTTGAATGTTTTTTATTCCAGCGTGCTATCTCTTTGCAATGGTGCTCGTTGGCATCTATTTGTGTTTTGGATTGGGAGTCAAATCCTGTCAATGATATGTATGCGGACGCTGTACTGGCAGCTATCCTTCACGCCCAAACGAATCCGATTCCCGAGAAATGTATGTCAAAATTTTGCTGCTCTTTTTGGTCTACGGTCACTTTCCTTTACAAAATGGGAGAATGAGAGGCAGCACTACAAAACGAAAGTGGAAAGTTTTTGTTTACATAGGTTCAAGCAAGGTCAGACACTGTTGTGCGGAAAATTTGAAATACGATCCCACACCCTACCTCATTAACCTCAGCACCCTTCACTCTACTGCTCAAAAACCCCAAATGGGATAGGGTCACTGAACTACTGAAAGCATTCCTTCCCAAGTTATTTCTGGATTCCTTGATATGTCTTGAATTCTTAAGCTGCTTAGGTTGACCCTAAAATAGCACCCGTTTCCCGGCGATTCAAGCACGATCCCTATAATGCTCAACACGAATTTAATGATGGATGTGTGAACCTCAGCTCACGTTTATACCAGTAATCCAAAAACACTCAGCGAAATTGAGCCCTTACGACGCGAAATGACCCTTTCAATCCACTCGTTTGTCTAGTTAGAAAGGATAAAGGGCAACTGTGACTGAATTTTTACCACATGCCTTATCCTTTATACGAAAAAATCACCTGATAGTGTGAGTCTTCATTTCAGGGAGAGTTTCTACGCAATAGTTTGTAAGAATATTAAGTCATGAGATTTTTAAGCCAGGTGTAGCGTACCTAGAAAACTGAATGGGGTAGGATTGCTCGCGTGCGTTTTGCTGTTGAAGCGCCGCTACGACGTTTTTGATAGAGTGCTATTGGTTTCCAGCACACGTCGAAAGCGTTTCGAAACAACGCTTTTGAAATCAATATCCACAATCACTTATCATCTTTTTTCTGATCCATAAATGATCTTATTGTAGACTTACCGAAAGTGGAGTCCTATCCTAAGATAGAAGATGCTTTGCTGACAGCTGTAAAAGAGGTAAGGTGAAGTCTCAACAATAAAACTCAAAAACTGAGGCTTGAATTCTTCAGGTTTGTGGAGACGAAGCGGTGACTAGAGATCCATCTGATGCGACAGCCATTCGAGTAGAAGTTGATGAGAAAGTAGCAGTCATTTCCTCTGGAGGTGCCCAAGTCGATTGCGACGATCCCCTACTTCGTCATCTTCTCTCTACGATTAGCGGGAAACTGCGGCGGTGTATTGCTCCCGAAAGCCTGCTGGTTTAGATGCTATGGAAGTTGACGAGAAATAAGTATTGTGTGTTTCACTACGTCTTTTTTGTTTATGGGTCTTTTGTTTCTCTGGACGATGTTTACTCCTTCAATGTGAACCATATTAGACAAGTTAGTCTTGCGTGACACCCCAATGTTTCTTTAGTGGCGCCACTCTTTATGGTCACTTGGGATCATCCTATTTTTCGGGAACATTTTTGTACCTTAAGACCTTAACCTTTAAGAGAGAGAGCATGCGATGGCTGAAGGGCGGAGTGATTTTGGAGGCCTCATTGAGTGTGATTGATGGAAAGGCGGTTTACAAGCCGCGCAACGACGTCATCAGAACCAGCTCCACCCTCCACCCATCGTGTTCACTGCCTTCAAATCCCATACGCTGCCCAAAATGAGCCCTCTTAGCAAAGCGAGCGCAATAGTAAGTCCTGAAACCTTGACTATGACACCGTAATCTCTCAACCCAGTGATTTTCACAAAGATGTTACCTTATGGGCAAAACAAAACACTTCGCCTGAAGCGGAAGCAAAGCCGCACCTCTCGTTTCTCAGGCAGTTGTGCTACCTGTCACGCTACTGGGGCTTCGTTTCACCTTAATTCAGCTCTTGAAATCAAAATGATAGGATAAGGATGAAGGGTTCAACAT